AGGTATGAACCGCTGTAACCCGCACCTCTGATTCTTTCGGTAAACGTCACCAAATAGACCTGCTTGAGCGGTAGGCGGTTAAGTTGTCATTGTTTCTGTCAGCTTCCCGTCTTCGTTTTGGAGCTGCTATAGAACAAAATATTCTGGTTAGATCTTGTCTCTTACTCATTGGTACTTAGATAAATCTTAGAAACTTATCCACAGGAGACTTCAAGTCAGTAATTCTTTAATTTTTTGAAATGCTTAAAACAGCATGCAAAGTTCTATTAGCAATTAATTAAAAAATCATTTTATTTTTAATTAATGCATTTGTCAGCCGAAGGGTGCTGTTCTCAAACAAAATACTAAAAATATAACTACCGTAACCAAATGCGATTTCTAAGGAGTGTTTGATATAAGTATTTTACCCTATGCACCTTTGTCCCTTTTAATCAACTTAGATTGTACTATATGCTCTTTGGTTTCCGGTCGGTTCGAAAAAGCGTCAGTGCTTGAGTGGCAGCTGCGGTGTCGGGGTGTCATTTCTCGGAGAGGGCTTAAAAAACTCGATGTTTCTGTTAACTTCTTAAATTCTTTGTCAGATATGTGACCAAGACTGGAGGACTGTCTGGAAATGACGTAAGTAACCATAATTTTCTTTTATTACTATTTCCGTTATTATTAATTTCCTTTTGCCCTCAACCTTTACCTGATACAGATAAAAAATTTCTTTATTGGAAATCTTTATTTCGTTATGAAGATGCTTCATTTTGATCTGCTGACGGTGTCTGGTTGTGAAAATGTACTTGGCACGTTTTAAACAAATCTTCGCTAAGTGTCTCGTCAGACCTTTCATATCGTTGTAAACTTTACACTGGCCTAAAAATTGTAAGCATTTTTCAGCTATCTGGCAGAAAGTTGGTCTGCTTCGTTGTATTGAATTTCTTGTCTTTTTATCTGGGATTCTTTACAGTGGCAACATAGCCGTTGTAAAATCATATGGTTTGGTTTTTGTTCATTTCTTTAAGCCTATTCTTGTGAATCATTATTACCACAGCCATGTCATGTAGGCCAGGTTTATTCTTAAGTCGTGATTCGTTTTTCGACTCGAAATATTTCGAATCACGGTTACTTTCGTTTGCCATCGTTTTCAAGATTACTTTTTCGATGACTATGGTTTACTCTGCCCATGTTGTTCAGTCAGAAGATTTCATGCATACATACTTCCAGGATTAATTAATCACCGTTAGTTTATTTAGTTAATCACGCACCACTTTTACTTTCATTTGAGCCGTTCTTGCCTGTGTACAATGCTATCTTAATTGGGCAGAACGGTGTAGCACCAGTGAAAATCAGTAGTGCTGAAATCTTTTGCCAGCTTTTAATATGTTGTGTCCAGAATTCCCAAGATAAACATTAATTTCAGTCAGATGGTTAAAGCTCCTTGTGGAAGTGGCTGTAGGTGAGTATAGAAGCGGAGAACGCTAGTGAAAACACTTTCTTAATTCAGTTATTGTATTGGGTTAAACCTTAAAATTGAGATTGACATAGTTTTTAGTTTTGCCTAGGGTTTCCTTTAAAAAAAGGATAATAACATAATCTTGATAAAACTATGGATCATGAATCCAAAATTTGAAGGTGGTCTGCCAAGTTTAGACCTTTTTCTTCGGAAAGCAACTTCGCATAACTGTAAAGATCCATTAACCCCTGCTTAAAATGGCATTCGCGAA